GCAGGTGCTGATGGGACCGCTGTGTGGGAGGCTGGGCAGGTGCTGATGGGACCGCTGTGTGGGAGGCTGCTGGAGGCTTGCCAGGGATCAGTGTGTGGACCTACTTGCTGCAGGAGTCCATGGCCACGCACCCACCTCTGAAGCCGGCCACCCTCTCCTGCCTCCTGCTGCCCAGGCTGCAGTCCATCTCCTGCTCTGCCGGGGCCTGGGCTCAGGGGCTCTGGCCTAGCAGAGCCCACCACTCCAGAGCGAGAGGGTGCGCGTGCTGGGAGGAAGGGCTTCTGGCCTGGCTCCTTTACAGCCCCACAGGCACATCTGTCCACAAGTGTGCCATGGTCTCTCAGCCCCAGGCCTGTGTGCTGGGCACTCCTGCGCCCCCAACGTGCCAACCCCGATCTTCACACGGCTCTTCCCTTCTCATCCTTCAGTCTCCATTCAAACCCCCTCTCCCAGCATCTCCCTGGCCCCCAGTCCTACCCTACCAGCCATACCTCCTATAGCCTTAATATGATCTGGAGCTCTGTACCTGGGCTTGTCTGTGGGCCAGGAAAGTGGCCTTGCACTTGAGAGAAATCCAGAAGTTAGCAGGGTTTTGTTTTCATTTATGGGCCCTGGCCTGTGAAAGAACACGGCATCCGGAGTTCAAAGATCTTCATCGTGGACTGGAAAATTTGCCTGCATTGAGGATTCTGTCAGTCCACGTGCCTCTGGGAGGCGTTTGTGTGTGCAGAGAGGAAGGCTGTAGGACCCAGGCCAGCCCCCTCCGTGGGAGGGGAACTGGGGCTGGGATGGCATCTGAGGTGCTTAGGTCCCCTTTCCCACCTGCCAGCCTGAGAGCACCTGGGAGAGCTCCTGTCCCCCAAGGTGGGAACACAGGAGCAAGCATTAGGAGCGTTGCAGGCACCAAAACCACAAGGGTGATGAATTTGTGCTGAGAAAGAACCTGAGTATTAGAAGCTTGTTTCAGAAATTCAGATCCGTTAGAGTAATGCTCTGTAACCCACCATATGATGGAGTAGTTGCTTGGGCTCCTGATGTAAGTCCAAGTCAATATTGGAATGGGTCAGAGAATTCCAGGTGTGCTGCATTAGCAAGTTTAATTTAGCAGGATTGCAGCAAGTATTCGTTGCTGTTAGGCGCCGTGGAGTCGGTTCTGACTCACGGCGACCCTCCGTACAACAGAACCAAACGCTGCCCGGTCCTGCGCCAGCCGCACAATCCTCGTTACGCTTGATCCCACTGTTGCCCTCAGTGTCAACCCATCTCGTTGAGGGTCGACCTGGCAAGTATTTGGAAAGGGATTATTTGTTACATCCAAGCCACTGAAGGAAGATGAAGATCTTACATTTTTAAAGGAAATTTAAAATCGTTTAAAGTCTTTAACCAAGTTTGTAAAAGGGACCAGACACAAACAGGTGACTGCAAATTTTGTGAAACATATGCTCAGGATAAGCTTAAGAAAGAACTAGGATTTTTTAATTTAATGAATTTTAGTAAATCGATTAATCATTTAAACAACCGAGGGCACCTGAGAACTCCCACGCCCGCAGTCTGATGCGCCGGGTCCGGCGTCCCGGTCCCGCTCGCAGCCTCGCCGGGGACCCACGCTCTCGGGACCGCCCACTCTGGGCTGTTGTGCGCATGCGCGGGCCGCGGTACGGCCCCTTCGAGCGCCGGAACCACAGCGGTCGGTCTCGGGCCCGGCGGAGGAGATACGCTGTGGGGCGTCCGGCCGCGCTGCGCCGGCGTTTCCGGGACGGCGGCTCCATGAGGTTGTTTACGCACGCGGTCTGCAACGCGGCCCGGGCCGCCTGGCGGGAGAGCTTCCCCCTGGGCGGCCGCGACCCGGCTCGCTGGTTCCCGGGCCATATGGCCAAGGGTGAGGCGCGGGCGGAGGCGTGCTCAGGCCGGGAGTCCCGGCGGCGACCCTTGCCCGTCTCCTCCCCAGGCTTGCCGAGCTGCCGGGCCTCCCCCGGGCGCGGGGCTCGGTCGAGCGGTCCAGCCGCCGGGGTGGACTTGGGAGCCCCCTGCCCCGACGCTGCAGGAGGAGGTGCCGGTTGGGTGAAGGGGCGCTCTCCGCGGCGGCGGCCCCCGTCCCTAGCGGCGCGGGGTGCAGCCTCGTCCAACCCCCAGGGTCGTTCGAGCTCTCTGATGGTGAACCTTTCACACCTAGGCCTCGCCAGCCGCTGGACTCACGGGGTGTAGCGGGCTTGGGCGGACCTTGCTTCCCACCTAGGCCCTTTCTGCCGCTGACACCGGCGACGAGCCCCCGGGCCGCTGTGTCCACGTCTGTTTTTAAACGGTTGTTAGACCTGCTTCACAGGGTTTTGAAGGCTGACCTTTCGGAAGCAGATGGTCAGGCCTTTCTTCCGAGGCACCTCTGGGTGGGTGAATACTGCCCGCCCACTTTTCCGTTGGTTGTCAAGCACGTCACCTTTCGTGCCGCCCCGTAAACCTGTTCCCGTCTGGTGGTTTCCCTCTCATAGCTACCCGATAGGACGGAGTAGAACTGCCCCATAGGGTTTCCAGGGAGCAGCTGGTGGATTCGAACTGCTTGACTTTTTGGTTAGCAGCTGGGCTCTTAACCACTGTGCCACCAGGGCTCCGTGCCACCCTCTATAATTCTCTAAATATTATCTTGAGGATTAGATGAAATGGTGGATGTGAAAGCCCTTTTCAAATTGCAAAGTATCTAACTATTATCACTGCAGTACCTTTAGTATTGAGTCATGCTTTTCTCCCGTCTCAGCATCCCTGGGGGTTTCTTAACTGACCCCAAGAAGACGTAGGACTGTTCCAGTCCTCAGTGTTAAACCATCTGCCACTCTTCTCTCCCTCCAGTATCCCCTCCTCCCCTTAGTAAGCTCTGATTCATCCAACAAGTATCAACCACGCGCCCAGCCTCCCGGGCTTTGTGCTAACTGCTGGTGTGCACTGGTGGTGTGTACTGGTGGTGTGAACAAGGCCCTGTTGGTGGTGGCAGTGGGAGTGGAAGAAGTAGGATGATGTGGGATGTTTTAGGAGGTATAGAGATGACAGGGCTTGGCTGCTGGAGCAACTGGCTGAGGGTGGTATTACTGTGTACCTGAGGGTGGTATTGCCATGCACATGGCGGGGACAAGTGTTATGATTATTCTGGGTGTGGTTCTGGTTAGGAGCTGTGTTCGGTGCTGGAGGAATGAGTGGGACACTGGTGAGTGGATGGTCAGGACTGGCACCACGATCTTGCTCTCCACAGCAGTGTCCAAGGCTGAAGACCCTCGGAGGTTAAATATTCCACCCAAGGTCACCCAAGCGTCAAGTGGAGGAGATGAGCTGGCTCTGTGGGCTGGAGTTTCATCCTCGACACGCGCCTTCACCAGGCAGAGGCCGTGTGCTTTTCCTCGAAAGGACACATGCAGCAAATGGTTGCTGCCGCTTAGTGTTACTCAGACGTATTCTTTTTAGGTTGTTTAAGGTGGTGTGTAGTTTTCGATGGTTCAGTTTAAATCGAATCTTCTGCCATTCTTTTGAGTGTCAAGAAGGACCCCACCCCTTAGGCGTCTTTCTTCTGTTTTCCAGGCCTGAAGAAGATGCAGAGCAGCCTGAAGCTGGTGGACTGTATCATCGAGGTCCATGATGCCCGGATATCCTTTTGCGGTGCAGGAGGGTCCCCGTTGTGCTCCCTGAACCAGGGAGTGGAGTTTTTGAGGGAGACAGCAGAAGCATTCTTGGCTTGCCTTGTCTCCATCCATCTCCCAGTCTGGAGCCTGCCCTGGTTCAGCGAGTGCCCACAGAGGCCTGCAGCCTCACCTGTGTTAGTTACTGGCTTTGAAAGCAGTGGGTCCCACCCTGAGTTGTACGTGGAGTTACCTGAAAAACTTTTGAAAAGACCTGTGCCTCGGCCCCATTCCAGACCAATTAAACCAGAATTTCTGGTGTGGGGTCTGGGCATCATATTTCTTTGAAGCTCCCCATTGATGCATAAGGCACGTCATCTGTCCCAGGTGTTCTGCCCGGTGCGTCCAGGCCTTTGAATCAGCTCCAGCCGTGGGGTTCTCCAGGCAGGACATGAAACTTTAGTGATCCTGTTGACCAAGGCTTCCTCCTGTGCTTGAGGAGTGAATCAGCATGGTGAAGCTGTTGTTTCATTAGTGAGCGGACTTTTGAGACCTTGTTTTTGTATTATATTTACGCTACTTATTAGATTCTTGTGTGGTGATGATGTCAGTTAGATTATTGTAACCAGCCTGCTGGGTTAGTCCCAGACGAGCTTGGGAAAGTTAAAACAGCAGCTCTAACTCTTTAGACAGTGCCGATGTGTTTCCAGAGATTTGGGAACCATTTTCACCATTTCTAAAGCTTGTTGGAGCTCTTGCAATAAGGCGCTGAGTTTTTTTGCTGTAACTGGAGCATATCATCATGTAATAAGGCACTGAGTTTCTTTGCTGTAACTGGAGCATTTCATCACGTCTCATGCTGGTGTTTGCTGGCAGTTTTACGTATGGTTATTAAAAAATAACAACGCAGTTATCAGTGTATCATGATAAGAAGGGAGTTCTCTTCCCTCTGCTCTTGACATTCTCTCTTCTCACCCGGGCCTGCCGAGAAGCCCTAAGGTTGGATCATGGCCTCTGTTATGTCCAAGGAGAAGGAGTCGGGGCTTTGGTGCTGAGTTAGCTCGGGACTGGTTGACCTTGAGGGGAAGTGTACGTTTTTGCAAGGTCCCTTTGCTGTATGGTGTGGGATGCTGCATCTTATGGGTTGCCTAGAGGGAGGGGTGTGCCAGAGGCTGGAATCTTAAGCTAGCCGGGAGAGGAGAGAGCTGGAGGCACCAAGAAGGGGCCAAGGATCCTTCCTGCCTGTGTGGTTGTCACACTAGGTGGGACCCACAAGTGAGTCCCAAGGGTGTGGCTGAAGGCAGGAGGGGCCGGAGGTGTGGTAAGGTGTGGTTCCCGTGAGGGAGTGGACACGCCTGCTGCGTGTTGCCCTGGAGACCCGGCGGTCCCTGGCTGTTACCAGAGGTGGTGGTAGTTCGAGATGCCCCAGTCAGGTTTTGTGGGGGCAGCTTCTTCTGAGTGATCTTGAGCTTATACACTTGGCAGCTAACCAATGATCTAGTTATAGAACCTGGCGCTGAGCTTGATTTTGTTTCTGTTGTCATTGCTACCATCATCACTGTTTGAGAAGCTGTGTGAGGGCCCCCTGCCTGCCCGTCTGCCTCTTGACCTTCAAGAAGTAGAGTGTAGCTTCTGTGACTCGGCAGAGAGGAGAAGTCACACCCTTCCCTGCACCAGCATACCTCTATGAGTACAGGCTCAGCCGGCCAGCAGCCTGGTCTAGGCCCCGGTCAGAGGTCGGTCCTGAGGTGGTGTGAGGCTGCACAGCAAGGCAGGCCAAGTCAAGTGATTGGCTGGTGAAGTTTCAAGGGAATTTTACCTTAATTTTGCAACATCCCACTTTCTGGCCGCAATCCTCTGTTTCAGGAAACCCTTGGCCTCAAACCACACTTGCTTGTCCTCAACAAAATGGACTTGGCAGATCTCAGGGAGCAGAAGGTGAGGGCCCTTCTCTCAGACACGTCGATATCCTTCTCAGGCCGCCTGTATCTCGACAGTCTCAATACAGATTTGCCTAAACAAAGCGTTGGCAGGGAGCTCCTACCTGGCAGGAGTGTTTCAGTGTGGTTCTCACAGTAGCACGCCTCCCACGACACCCACGATTGGTCGGTTGGGTGTGCACGCCCCGTGTCAGGTGACTTCTGCTGCAGTGGACAGGCTGTGCTGCCAGGCCTGGGATGGGTACCCTGTGTGACTGGCCAGCTCCCTGATGGGGGGCCACTCTGTCCACTGGGGCCACGTGGGCCGTGAGCACCCCTGTGGCTGCTGTGGCTGAGGGGTTGACTTTCACATTTTATTTAATTTCAATTAGTTTAAGTAAATTTCATTAGCTTCCTGTGGCAAGTGGTTGCAGTACTGGGCAGACCCAGGCCCACTGCTGGCTGCCCTCCACACACCACAGGGTCTGTGAGCTGGAAGGGGCCTTAGGGGTCTGCGAGTTTAATCTCGTCTTACAAAGTGATAGATGAGGCCCAAAGTAGCTGGCAGATTTCCCCTGACCGGGGAGCTATCCAGCGGCAGAGTCAGGATACAGTGACCCAGTGAGAGACATTTCCCACACTCTAGGGGGTGGAAGGAGTTCAGAGACTTTGGAAATGTTAATTTTGAAGTGTTTGTCTCTGCATTTCTTAATCTGTCGTCAAATCCTTAGCAGAGAGTGGGTGTCAGGATCTTTAAATTCAAGCTGGTGTTCATTTTTTTTTTACACCTTGTTACTAGTGCAGAATCTGCTCCTCTGAGGCCCAGTGTCCGCGGCGTCACTCATTTGCAGCTGTAGGTGTTTATCATCACACGTGCTTTCAGTTGTTTATGTTAGTTGAGATTTTTGAGTCTTGTCAGTGACTGTTTTGGTCTTAAATTTGTGTGGATGGTGGATGAGCAGGCTGAGGGGATTTTCCCACACGGTACAGTGTCACTGGCTGGACAGCCCCAATGCCACATGGCCTCCATGGTTTTATTTCATATTTAAAATGGAAACATTTTGTCTCTTCCAGAAAATTCTACAGCACTTAGAAGGAGAAGGCTTGAAAAATGTCATCTTTACCAACTGTGTGAAGGACGAGAACATCAGGCAGGTGGGCCTTTTCTGTTCTGCACACACAGAGCCCATGCATACACAGAGCACACGCACACTGTTCTGCACACACAGCACACACACACACACACAGCACATGCACACACAGAGCGCATGCACACACAGAACATATGCACACACAGCACATGCACACTGTTCTGCACACACAGCACAGGCACACACACACAGCACATGCACACACAAAGCACACACACGGAGCGCATGCACACACACCGCACATGCACACAGCACATGCAGGCACAGAGCACATGCATACATAGAGCACATGCGCACTGTTCTGCACACACAGAACACATGCACAGAGAACATGCACACACAGTACGTGCACACAGCACACGCACACACAGCGCACGCACACACAGCGCACGCACACGCAGCACACACGCACAGCGCACGCACACACAGAACGCATGCACACCCAGAGTACACGCACACCCAGTGCATGCACACACAGCATGTGCGCAGTGTTCTGCACGCACAGAGCACATGCACACACAGCACACGCACACATAGAGCACATGCACACACACACAGCACATGCACACATGGCGCATGTACACACAGCACACACAGAGCACATGCGCACACAGGGCGCATGTACACACAGCACACACACACAGAGCACACGCACACTGTCCTGCACACACAGAGCACACGCACACTGGGTGGGGTGCCGCCTCTCCCCGAGTACACTTCAGGGTGACGTCAGTGAGTGCCAGCTTCGTGAGGAGGCAGCCTGGAGGTGCCTTCGCCAGTTGGCCTGGGGGCTCATGTCTGCTGGGGCAAGAGCAGGACCACTGAGCAGTGTGGGAAGGGCGTGAGGTCAGCACTGGAGACGTGTCCTGGGTCACGGGTATAAAGGCATCTTGGGGTGCCCCGTAGCTTCCTTTTCCCGGTTATATCTGCAGAACCTCACCAGTCGGCATGCATCTTCGTTAGAAGGTAATGGCAGTTGTAGCCATCATCGGAACCACCCCTGGGGAGACTGCCCTGCTCGTCATGGTGGGGGTGGGGAGCTGGCGCCGTGGCCCCACCAGCCACAGCCTCAGTGTGACAACAGGGGCAGAGCCCAGGTGTTCTAGTACTGGTGCTAGGACACGCTGCCTGCAGAAGGATGCCAGGTCTCGTTATGGGGTGTGAGATCTTTAGCTAATAATGGGAAGGGGAACTTATTCTGAGGTGGCCAGAGAAGAGTGGCTGTGTGCCACAATGCCAGACCTTTGAGAACACTTGGTCTGTGTGTGTGCATGTGTTCTGTGTGTGCGGGCTCTGTGCTGTGTGTGCATGTGCTGTGTGTGCATGCTCTGTGCTGTGTGTGCATGTGCTGTGTGTGCGTGCTCTGTGCTGTGTGTGCATGTGCTGTGTGTGTGGTCTGTCGTGTGTGCTCTGTGTGTGCATGTTCTCTGTGGTCTGTTGTGTGTGTGCTTTGTTGTGAGTGTGGTCTTTTTGCTTGCAGATCATCCCGACAGTCACGGAATTGATTGAGAGCAGCTACCGCTATCACCGAGGAGAGGTGGGTTTGGGGTGCAGACTGGGAAGTGAGAGTATTACTGGTCGCCTGTCCTTCCAACAGGAATGGTTGGAACTGTCCCACTGAGATTGGCGAGGCTTCTGGGAGGGCTGGGGATGGGCTCCCTTGCACGTCCAGGCCAGGGGTCTGTGTGTGGGACCATGACCCCACACTCCCGGCCCCCACAGAACCTGGAGTACTGCATAATGGTGATCGGGATCCCCAACGTGGGCAAGTCTTCCCTCATCAACTCCATCAGGAGGCTGCACCTCAGGAAAGGTACTGCCAGCCAGGGTCCAGCAGCAATGCCTTCGCTTCCCCGCGGCGCCAGGGGTGCCGAGGAGCACGGGACCTTACGAACGTGGCCAGTCCTCTGTGATGGCTTGAGGACGAAACTTGCGTATCCCAAGGGGAGTTGGGGATTGTCCCAGCGTTTCGTCCCACTTCCAGCCTGACAGGGCTGCACGGTGAGGCAGCAACACCTATTGTAGGTTTGTGCTTGACTTGTTTTCTCTGTTGAGATCTGAAGAAGGAGGATGACTTTTCTAAACTTTGGTGATTTTGTTTTCTCATTTATTTAGATTTCTTTGATTCAGGTAGCTCACAGCATTGTGACACAGGCATACGACATAGGCAGGAAGGCTGACTTTAAGAAGTGTGTGAATGTGTCGAAAACATGTCAGAAACGACACAGCTTCCTCTCCCAGCAGTGGCCTTGAGAGCTGTGTGTCTGTGTCCTGCTGCAGGTGCTGGAATGTTCTCTGAGACTTGCATCATCTTTGCAGCCAGTTGTAAGCCCCACAGGGAGTGCCTTCTCAGCTCACAGTTACTGTCTGATCTTGGTTCAGGACAGAGTCACCAGGTCACTCACTTTGCCTCAGCCCTGGAGCTGAGCGCACAAGGCGTGGAACAGTCCCTGGGGTGCCCTGAGCTGGCTTCCGAGCGGAGGCAGGCCTGGTCGTCCGCCCAGAGAACGGCATCGGGAGCCCTGCCCTGCGGCCAGGCCTGCGTGGTGTGTGCATGGGTTGCAGGCTCACGGGTGCAGGCTCTGCCCGGTCCCTGAGCCTCCTTGGGGAGGTGACCACGTAGAAGGGATAGCCTGCCTTGACCTTTCTTGGTCCTAATGTGTGGAGGCCCCGCAAAACTGCTCCCCCCAGCACCTTCTGCGTGAGCTGGTTTGGGGTGGGCGTCGAGGGGTCCAGATGGGAGTGCTCACTGGACCTTTGGTGTGTCGGTCTGTCTTGCCAGACACTCTTGCTCCCACGTGTGTGCGTCGTTGCAGATTCTACGGTCTCTGGGCCCGGCCTGTTGTGTTCAGTGCACACCTGACAGTCCCTTTGTGTCCTGCAGGAAAGGCCAGCAGGGTGGGCGGCCAGCCTGGGGTCACAAGAGCTGTGATGTCCAGAATTCAGGTACAGCCCTCGGTGGGGCTGGAGCATGTGTACCTACGATGGGCATTTTCCGAGGCTCGTTAGGTGACGCTCCCCCCCTCCCTGTCCATATCTCCCAGCTGGGCACTCCCTGCCCCTCTTACGGTGGGGTCACTGAGGCTCAGGGACACAGTGTCAGGGCAGAGTGGCCAGCCAGCTCCTGTGGCCTCCCTGGTGTCAGCTCCGCCTCCTGTGCCCTGTGCCGCCCCTGGGAGGAGGCGCAATGAGAGCTATTTGGGAGCCAATGCCCTTGTTTTTCCCATCGTTGGTTGGGAATTCAACCCTTTGGGGGTCCCTGAGTTTGGTGACAGTGGCATGTGCGGTGTCTTGGGTGCCTCCTCAAGCTGGAGAAACCCGGCGGTCTTCCTGGCCTGCCTCCCTGAGGCTCCGTGAAGAGGACAGGGCAGGGAAGGATGGGGTCGGGGGGATGCCCCTGGCCTGATGGCCCCCTTCCTGCGCAGGTGTGTGAGCGGCCCCTGGTATTCCTGCTGGATACTCCTGGGGTGCTGGCCCCTCGGATTGAGAGTGTGGAGATGGGCCTGAAGCTGGCTCTCTGTGGTGAGCTGCTACCCCCCTTTAGGGCACCACTTGCTGACTTTGGTGTGGGACCCGTAGACTGGGTGGCATTGTTGCTGCCTTTGCCCTGGCTGCTGCCAGACAGACAGCTCTCAAGGCTGTGGTGTGAGGGTTTCTCAAGCTGCGGGTGCAGTGATAGCTCCCAGCCAGCATGTGACAGGCACCATTCCTATCCCGCTAGTCCTCACGCCACCCCACGAGAGAGGGGCCTTTGCTCTCATTTTACAGGTGAGGAACAAGCCAGCTGATGTGGCCCAGAGCCCGAGGACAGGCATTGGGCCTGTCACTCTCCTGGGAAAGCCTCTTATCTCTTGTGGGCCTCCTGTGTGGGCCAGTGTCAGGGCTGGGCTGAGGGGGTACCCTGGAGCACAGCAAGTACACAGAGCTGGGCTGCTCCGTGGCTCACCCTGTGCTGGTGGGCTTCCCAGGAACAGTGTTGGACCACTTGGTGGGCGAGGAGACCATGGCCGACTACCTCCTCTACACCCTCAACAGGCACCAGCTCTTTGGGTAAGTGGCAGCGTGGGTGGGGCGGGTAAGACTCCTCCCTTCTCTCATCTTGGCCAAATGGAACTAAGAAACCTTCCTAAGGCATGACTGACAGAATATTTAAAGTGTAGTTTGGTAAGTTCTGACACGTATACACCCATGATACCGTCACCTCAGTCAAAAAAACGGACACCTCCGTCACCCCACTTGCACTCCCTCCTCGCCACCCTCCTCCGTACTCACTGGTTTGCTTTCTGTCCCTCTGGGTGAGTTTGCATTTTCTAGTAGTTTCTATAAATGGAATCATAGCGTGTCTTCTCTTCTGTCTGACTCCTTTCACTCAGTCCAGTTGTGAGATTCCTCCGTGTTGTCAAGTATCTCAGTGGTTCATTCCTTTTTACTGTTGAGCGTATTCCATAGTATGGATATACCACAGTTTGTTGATCCACTCTCCTTTTGATGGATATTTGGGTCATTGGCAGTTTTTGGCTCTTGTGAATAAGGCTGTGGTGAGCATTCATGTAGAATCTTGTATGGACATGTGTTTTCATTTCTCTTGGGTAGATATCTAAGAGTGGAGTGGCTGGGTCATATGGTAGGCCTATGTTCAACTTTAAGAAACTGACAAACCATTTTCCATTCCCATTGGCAGGGAAGGAGGATTCCAGTTCCTTCACACCCTTGCTGGCACTTGGTGTGGTCAGTCTGTGGATTTTTCCCAGTTGGGTAGGTGTGTAGTTGTGTTGCATGTGGTTTTAATTTGCGTTTTTCTAATAACTAATGCTGAGCATCGTTTCTTATGGTTATTTGCCATCTGTGTATCTTTGGGGAAATGTCTATTCAAATCTTTGGCCCACTTTTTTTTTTTTTTAACTGAGTTGTTTCTTATTACTGAGTTGTATAAGTTCTTTATGTATTCTGAGTGCAAGTCCTTAATCAGAGGTATGGTTTGTAAATAGCGTTTCTTTCCATGTCTTAGTAGTATCTTTCGGACAGCGGTCCCCGTCCTCCTCCCTGGCGCCACAGCCCAGACACTGGCAGTGAGCTGGGCAGTCACAGACTTGTCTCATTTGCTCTCTGAGTCTCAGGACCTGTTCTTCACTCATCATGTGATGTCTGATGTCTCGAAAACCATTGTTTTATGTACTTTTTCCCTTTTGGTCATTTTGGGTATGGGAGGATATCTGGTCCTGTTATTCCGTTTTTCATCAAATGGAATTGCAAGTGGAAATTTTTGCTTTATTTTTATTGAAGTCCGTTTGCCTGGACTTCCAATATTCTGCAGTTCTGGAAAATCCAGCAGTAGAGTGCTTGCTGTTGGCAGGCATTGGGGTGTCTCTTCTGGGTGTTTGCTCCTTTTTCGCAGGACAGCAGTGTGCCTCGGGAACGCCCGTGGATGGTGGGGTCATCAGATCCCAGCCTTGGTGTTCCTCAGATGCTCGATTTAGGACCGTATGCCCCCCAGTGTCGAGCTGCCACCTGAAAGTGGAAGCCCTTGGTGTCAGTGTTCATGGTACTGGGTGCACGTGAGCTCGGCCGGCCTTGCTGCATCACAAGTGTGCGCGTCTGACTTCTTCAAGGCGAGTTAGTGCCTCCATGTGAGCCGCGAGGTGGCTCTCCATCTCAGCCTTCTGCGTGCCAGGGACTCGGCCTTCTGTGTGCCAGAGACTCAGCTATCTGAGTGCCAGGGACTCGGCCGTCTGCATGCCAGGGACTCAGCCAACTGAGTGCTAGGGACTTGGCCTTCTCTGTGCTAGGGAGTCAGGGTTGAGAAGCTCATTGACTTGCTTCAGGTCGCCCAGCAGGAGTGTGTGTTCCTCCATTAGGGCTCATGGCTTCTGAGGTCAGCGGTGATGTTTCTGTCAGTGAGTTCTTTCTCCTTCCCGTCACTCAGTGTTAGAAATGCACTGTACTGCTGCTGGGTTTCAGCCTGCCTGTTGGGTCTGTCCACCCAGACCCTCACTGCAGGGCCGCCATCCACCCCCATACCACGGACCTCCATCCTGACTGTGGGGCCCCACCCATGGGAGGTGACCAGGTCAGGCCGTCCAGCAGTGTCCCGGGCATTGGTCCCTGCTGTGACCCGTGTCTGCGTGCAGGTACGTGCAGCACTACGGTCTGGATAGTGCCTGTGACGATGTTGAGAGCGTGCTCAAGAGAGTGGCCCTGAAGCTGGGCAAGACCCAGAAGGTGAAGGTGCTCACGGGCACTGGTGAGTGAGGGCTCCTGGGTGAGGTGGGGCTTGGGGTGCCCCCAGTGAGCTGGGGGCAGAGAAGGGAGGGAGGGAGCAGAGGAGGGAGAAGGGGGGGACACTGGAGTAGACACGCTGTCCTGGGAGAGGGGCTGGGTCCCAGAGAGAAGGAGGCTCCTGGGCCTGTCTTACGAGGGTCAGAGCCTGGTCCTGCCTCACCGGCACCCGGACGCTGATGATTTGGGGGTTACATACCTGGTCCTGGGGTAACCCCCCTGTGCCCTGTCCTCTCTCCTCCTGTCCTGGGGTCCCCCCATCCTCTGCCCTCCTGTCCTGGGGTACCCCATTCTCT